CATCAGCTGGGACAAGTTCAGCAAGGAGCCACACTTCACTGTGGCCCATTACGCTGGCAAAGTCAACTACCAGATACAGGGCATGGTGGAGAAGAACAAGGTGTGTAATGAAAGCCTTTAAATTGTGTTCAGAACGTTGGCAATCAATCTCATCTCCTACTGGATTTGGTTTTTCAGGACCCAGTGCCACCAGAGCTCATCAGCCTGCTTCAGAAGTCTGACAACCCCCTGCTTCACCAGATCTTCACTGATAAGGAAACTGAGAACCCAACTAACAAGGGCCTCAGTAAAGTCACTGTGGTCTCCAAGTTCAAGGTGGGAATCAACTAAAGCCTTTATTAGCTGGTTGGGGGCTGTAGAGCTCCTCATGGGAGGGTTAAGTCATGGCACTGATGATGTTAATGTCTGATTGTAGAACTCTCTGGAAAGCCTGATGAGGATCCTCCACACCACAACTCCTCACTACACTCGCTGCATCAAACCGAACCCAGACTGCAAGCCGCTGACCTTCCAGAAGGAGGAGGTAGATGTTCTGCTGTTCTCCTCTCCAGCAGTACCACAATTATTTCTTTCTTCACTAAAGGAAAGGTTTTATATGGGTCTTTCCTGTCTGCTGCCAGGTTATCATGCAGTTGGAGGCCTGTGGGATTGTGGAGACTATTCATATTAGTGCTGCTGGCTTTCCAATAAGGTGAAACATTTTTCCTTTTTCGTCTACTTTTAATCTTAATGTATTGATTTGTTTCTCTTGGACTTAAGGTTGACTTGTCATTTCTGTTTTATAGAATTCCTTTCAAAGACTTCATGCAACGTTATGGACTGATTGAAAAATATTCAAATTCCATGTCAGGTAGTTGTTGCGTTGGTAAGTACAGTTTGTTGTGGGATCCACTTTAAGTAAATTTTGCATATGTATAAAAACAAGACTTTCTAACAAAATTCGCAACTTCTTATGAACTTTCCTGGTAAATGCATGACTTCTGACTATCAGAGCTTGCTTTGCATGTTGTGTCGTGTTTTTCTACTAATTCTTGATCATATCACGCCTCATCTTAACCCACTGTTCAGTTGCTTTTATCAATGCTAGGGGCTCTATGTATGACAGTGTTGGTTCATCTGTCGGTTGGTCGGCCCATCCGCCACTTTGGTCCAGACTGGAATATGTAAACAACTACTGGATGGATTGTGTACAGACATTCATGGTCCACAGAGGATGAATCTGACTTTGGTGTTATAAAATGACAAAAACATAATCATGTGAATTTTGTCATTGTGAGCAGTTTAGCTGCTGACTTTAGCATTTGATCCGAAGCAGCAGGGTGCCTTAAGATGGCCTCATAGAGCTGCTAGCATGGCAGTAAACTCTTAGTCTTGTACGAGTGTTCAAGGATCCTGCTCACTAATGAATACTGAATTCTGCTATATATAGTCAGGTGTTAAAGAGACATTGAATTTGCAGTAATCATATCAATGTCTGTGGAAACTGTGCTGTTGATTCTAATGGATTTATCCGTGCTCTCATGCTTACCCACTGAACAGATCGTACCTCACCTGACTGTCATGCTTTCAAACAAACACTATGTGGTAAAACGGCTCTGCCTTTACTTGAATTATGTCTCTAGAGCTTCACTCCAATTCCTCTTTGTCTTAGATGTGGAGACTGACAGCAACGGGATTCTTCGGCAAGAGGTAGAGAAGCTCCTGAGTGTCGTGTTACATAAGGCGTTTGACCTTGACAGTGAAAAACACAACTCATGGGTTCACTGCGGAAGGACTAAAGTTTTTCTCACCCAGTCGATGGTCAGTCTTTAAATACACAGGCATCCTCGCACATGATTTAAATCTGGTCATATTGTACTTAACTAAAGTTACTTATCAGGCCTTATCAGGGCTCCGGTCTTTTTGGGAGTACTGACCTGCCTGGCTGTTGTCTCACAGTTAGATTTGCTGGAGGATCAGAGGAAGAAGATCCTTTCTCGGTGTGCCTTTTCCATTCAGTGTTGCTGGCTGCGGTACCAACAACGCAGACGCCACGCCCGCCAGCAGGCTGCTACTCTGATCCAAGCAGGTAAACTCTTAATGCCTTGACCAGGTACCGCTAAGTGGAACCAGAAGAGCTCTCTGGCCCGGCTCCCACTGTGTGAGTCTGTTGACTGTGACCTCACTGTCTGGCCAACAGAAACCAGCTGGCAGTCTGTACACACTGTTTATCCCTTCAGCAGAAACAGAAGCTACCACACATAGAAGCTCATCTGATTAACTGTTAATGACAGATGTTCTTTTGATACTTCCTTCTCAGTGGGAGTACATACACATTTCTTTCCACAATGCACAGATTGAGCTTACAGAATGAATAGCGTGGTTATATGTTAATGAGTTTTATGCCTCCTGCAGCGGTGCGGTCCTGGCTGGTCAGGAGGAAGGTCCAGAAATGGAACAGAGCCGCTGCAGTCATCCAGAGCACCTGGAGGAAGTGGAGGGTGAGATTTGGAATCGGAGATCGGTCCTAATAATGCAGCTCAATGTTGTCTTATTTAATGCATCTTTCTATTGACTTTAAAGGGGAACACCACCGACTTAATGCATCAAAGTATGTTTACAGGTGTTGTGGAGTACCACTGCATATGTAAAGCCTTTTTGGCTCCATAGGGAGCTGTGCAAAATCTGATAAAATTGCCTCAAGGGATGTCACATCAGTCAACTGTAGTTGGGTTAGCTGTAGAAGACTACAAGTTTGAAAATGAAAGAAATCTAGGGGTGTGAACTTACCAGACGTCTGTAGCTCACTCATCTCTGCCTCGTGGCACGAGGCTACATTAGCCGCTACTAGCATAACACATTTAAATCTCCAACCAAACTGTCTGTGGTTAAGTTGTATTGTGGGTAGTGTAGGCCCGGTTTTGACCATAAAGAAGAATATAAAATATAAAAGGTTCTGCTGTGCCTGGTAAATCAATGTATCCTTTTTGTGGCAGGCACTATTGAAATCCTTGGCCGAGGCCGAACTGGATGACGCGAAGGACCTTGTGGAAGAGGACGTGTCAGCATTAAACCCTGTTATCAGGGAGCGGGGCTCTGTGCAGCTCGCCAACATCCAGGAACCTGTCACGGTTCGAGGATGGCCCATGGGCCTGGCTCTGGCCTCCGCCCCATCCATCACCATGTCTCTGACAGCCACAGGCTTCCAGAAGATGATGTCTGTGATGGCCTCCCTCAACCTGCCCTCCAGGAGAGCGGAGTATAAAGTGGAGACCAACCAGTACACAAAGGGGCTCGCCTCCATACGGGCTCAACCTAAGGTGAGGGCACAGCCACGCAAGTTCTGTTAAATCTTAAGTTTTCATCATCTGGATGATTTTAATGATTGGTCATTTGAGATTCAATTTTTCTTTTCTACTCAGGGATCTGTAAAGATGCACTATCAGCGATCTCCACTCCTCTATGCTGACAGGCAGCCAGACATGAAGACTGATGTGACCGGGTTCAACGAGATCCTGCTAGAGAAAACTTTGTAAGAGTTCCCTCTCTGCAGAACACTGAAGACTGATTTCATGGACACAGATCGGGTACAGTCGGGCACAGAGGTGCTTTTGCAGTGAAGCAGCTGCTCTTCCATAATCTGACACAAAGGGAACACATCTGGTATTTAAGCCGAGTGTATTTGTGTTAAAAGTGATCATTTACAGCTTAAATTTACTTTTTTAAGAATGCCAAAGTTTATCTCACTCTGTTATACAAGGGTGCAAAAAACTGCAAAGCCTGCACTCTTGCGTAATAATATTTCATAATGCAGTCTGCTGTGAACCAGACCATCTTATGAAAAATCCTCTTTCAGGTCACAGGGACTAATTCAGAATTTCAGTCAGTAGACTGCAGAATCACAGACCTTCCACATCTGGATAATGCAGAGACGATCTTGAGTTGTGATCATGATGATGTCATTGCAGGACAAGACAGTAATTTTTAAATGAGACCTGGAATTTTATGGCACAATCCCAGCACCTTTAAACAGAGGACTGCAGGTTTTTGCCCCATTGTTGCCTCTTTGGAACGTCTGACAGTTGATCAAAGTATTGGGCCTTTGACTTGTGCCTTTCTTAAAATCTACACGCAAATCACAAATGGGATGTTAGTATATGTATTTATTTATGGGTGACTATTTACGTGTGCTTCCATAGATTTATTGTGGGTGTGAAAAACATCGGTGATTCAGGTGCACATATGATTGCAGATGTCAGCCCAACATCCTGCATTTATTCTCAGTGTGATTTATGTGGGGGGGGGATTAATTAAGCAAATATTGCACATGTAAAGCACATATTGCACATTAAAACCACACAGTAACAGACTGACACATTACTCATGTGAAACAGGAAAAGGATGAACCCAGGTTTATTCAAATTGCTGCTCTTTTCTTGATAAAGGTTTGACTGAACCACTTCCTATGTGGACTCTAATCTGCTGCATTCCAAAGCATCAATGTTAGTACTGTATAACATACCAAAGTCTTTTTTACACTAGTGCTTTCTGTGGAAGAACAATTGTGTTATTATACCCAACAGGTTTTATTATAGTCATCATTTTAATATTCAAAACATCTTTTTGCTATCATGTTATAAAATATTGTAATTAATGTAACACTGTTTATCATCCTAGCTCCTGATCCAACACTATTACCTACAGGGACAGCATATAGTACATCTTCATTTGCTCACTAATTATTCCTTTTTTAACCTTTTCAGCTTAAATTCTCTTTAATGTGTCTGAGTCATTATGACAGTCGAATTGGAAATTCACTATATCGGTGGTAGCGAGGGATCAATGCACAACAACTTGAATTTTGTTCATATTTAAATGTTTTGTGGAAATAAATGTCTGTTATTAAATTTTTTAGGTAGTTTTCCTTTCACCTAAACTTTTTACATGTGGTCAGCCAGTTCACAAGTGACTTCAGTTAACTACACTGTAAAGCTCTTAGTGTTAACAGAAAACTGATACAGTTTCAAAACATTTCAACGTTTATTTGAATATTATACACAAACGGTAGCATGACATGGCACAGGAAGTTAGATCAACAAAAATGATAGTAACTACACAATACGCGTAGCACAGTGAGGCATTTTATATTTAAAAAAAGGGCACCATCTGATAGGTATGGTTTTACAAATCAGCTTCATTGGATGTAAAATATCTCTGTTCATTTTCTACAATTTTCAAACACTGATCTGAAAATTCAACAAACAGAGGCTCCTGCATGGCAGTCTTCATTACATCATATTTGCCGTCTGCACTGTCAACAGAGCGTAATAACTGTCTCAGATGGGGGTTGCAAAGAAGATCCCTCAGCTCTTTTGACTGACCTGTAGAAGAAAACATTAATTACCCAACCAAACTTTTTTTTTAAATGTATATTATGTGGTCGTTAGTAAATACAAGTTTCAGATAAAGGAACATTTGACAGGTGCTGCTACTGCCAATAGTGTTGAGAAAAACTGAAGGGTTAAGAGCAGACAAAAGGTAATGCTGGATTTATACCTAACAGCTGGAGCCTCTGCAGGGACACTTTGTCAGTGATGTCATTCTCATGCAGAAGATCCTCAACAGTCCACGGCTCTGCAAAGACAGCGAAGCACACGGGATCAGAAAATTGGACTCTGTTACTATTTCGATCACTTGATCTCACAGCTCATCTTTGCTGTGACTTAACTGACTACTGAAGTCACAATTAAATAAACTTAACCTTGACCACTTTAATTAGTAACATACCAGTGTTGAAAGCATCCTTGACTTCAGGTTCAATAGGTGTAGGCTGCTTAACAGGAAGGCAAGTGTCTATGGACAAAAAGGAGAAATTAGATGGTGGATCACTGTATGAGTGTGACCACAGGTTGTCTACACATTGTTTGTCTAAAGATACTGAGATCAAGCTCATTTACCTTTATGCCTTTTGTAACAGCCAAGTGAACAACTGTAAGAGGAAAAAAACAGTAAGCAATAATTAAAACTATTTATCTAGCAGCTCATAATGATAACTAATAGTGAATCATGGTAGCATCAGTATCATTGTGTATCTTTATATATAGTAACTGTGTGATCAGGACAAACTGCACCTTTAACTGATTATTCTACATATGGATTGAATGTATTAACAAGCAAAGTGAATGCTCAATAAAAGTCAATGGATTAAATAAACAATCAAAACAACTCGTTCGGGAGTATGACGTCAAATCGCGAATCGTTTTGACCTACGTGGGTTGCCGTCCCATGTGTGTCCCAAAATTGTTTTCACGTGTGACTTTAAGTCAGTGGCATGGTCTGTTAAAATGCTCCTATCTCTATTTGTTAAACTTGTAGTTACAAACGTCCCCATGTTTCACAGTCCTGGGAACTGCTGTCAATTCTACGTTCACAGTTACGTTACGTTACGTTGCGTTAGCTTTAAGGGCCGGTATATTTGGTATGTATTGTTTTAGTTAACGTTAGCATGACAACAGAACATTATTAGTACTACATTGACTATTGTTCTCTGTATTCTCAAATGTTTTGTTGTTGTTGTTGTTGTTATTTTCTTTTTTACATTTTCGAGCATTTAGAACCGAGCCAAACAAAACCAGAAGCTAACTGGAGGTTAGCTAACGTTAGCTAGCTCGCAGACTTATTTAAAGTTACTCACTATCTTATGTTGCAGGTTGGACATCTGTATTTCGGCGTCTGTTCGCTGCACACACTGCAGATCTGCATGTTAGCGGGTAGACAAAATAAATAACGAACAAATGAGTACACTTAGAGGCAGCTCATACATGTGTGAAAACCAGGAAGTGCGTGCTATCACTTCCGGTTGTGCAATGGGTTCTTCAGAATAAAAGCAGGTATATTTACCTAAAAATCACCCAGTATACCAACAGTTGTAAAATCCCATATACTGGCAAGTATTTGCGAGCCTCTTGTATTCGTCATATATTTATGTAATGTGATCACTGCAGGGTACTTTCCACAATCTGCAGATATGTTGTATTGTCTGCTTAGTTCTCACAAAAAACAACAACAAAAGAAAAAAAAATCTCTCTCTGGGCTGCAGGCCATATCCTTGAGCATTTCTGAAAGCACTGCTGTTTGGCCTTGGTGCCTGGATGTGCGTGCAGCAGGCTCTCATTCCCCCTGAGAAAACACTTGACACTGACAGGAGGGGGGGAGGAGGAGGAGGAGGAGGAGGAAGACACATTCTGCTTTTGCAGAAATTGTAAAAGCAAAACAGAGACAAACGTGTTATGCAGCCTACTTAACACTAACACAACTGAACTGTCTTTATTATCAGTTATGAGGGATAGAAAACAAAACAATCCAAGGTGGTTTACTTAACATCAGTTTTTATTGAATCAAAATACAATAAAATATCTTAAGCACCCACAGAAATGACTATGTATGTTTATCAAGCATAAACCACTGACCTAGCTCAACACAAACTATTCTTGCACAGCTGTAACTTGAGAGCAGGAGGTCTTGTTACAGGGTAGAGAATGGGATGGAGAACTGTTTCATCACTGATTAAAGGACATATTTGCGTTGTCACAGCAATCCATTCACTGGGTCAGGGAAGGCAGAGACACTTGGCCACGATCAACATCAGAAATCCAACTTGCGTTCAGATCTGTGGGGAAATCAGAATGAAATGGTCACCACAGTCACGTCCTGCAATGTAAACGAGTATATCACCTGCAGATTGTTTTCTCAATTAATCACTTGGTCTATAAAATGTCACTAAATAGTGAAATATGCCCATCGACATGTGGATGTCAACATGTACAACAACAACAACAACAACAACAACAACAACCACCTATTCCTCTTGTTTGTTTTATCTGAATAACCATCTAAAAGTCACAGATATTCAATGTACAGTGAAAAACAGAAAATCCTCACTTTTGAGAAGCTGGAACGAGCAAATGTTTGGCATTAAAACACTACTTGTAATATGTGTATTTTTTCAGCTTTTTTATACTGTGCCTGAGTTATGGTGACAACTGCTCACATTTTAAGGCATCAGAATATCCTATCACTTATTCCACCTATGGAAAAAATGCTTTATTATGATACAAACAGAATAAGTGGGGCAAAAACATTACAGAGGAAATGCTTGATCCATATGGCAGAGTGACCTAATATGTAGAGCTGAGCTAACTTGAATTTTCAAGCACAGATTACAGTGATCCTGATCACAAAGCCAGGCGTTGTTTACCTCATATTTATGGGTGTCAACTGCTTGACTAATCGCCACGATCTCGTTATGTAAATATCCAAGAAGCAAGAGGTAGTGTTTGTTTTTTTTTCCTAACACAATGGCCGACTGTTGAATAAATACGAATTTCTCAACTATGTATAAACACAACAGATGCACATTGTTACCCGTAAACACCGAGGAAAGCCATCAGGACGACGAGCTCTTGGTTCTCCTGCGTTTCATTTCGCTGTTGTGAAATTTTTCTGCTATCTTCCTCTCGTGTCCTGCGGGGCAATGGCGGTTTGTGTTGAGCTCGATCTCCCTCTTGGTTCGCCCCTTGCCGCAGGCATGACACGAGTATTCGAGTAGATTGTAATAGTCATATTGATCGTAATGTGCTTCCTCGAAAGAAACAAATCTTTCCATGTCTGTCGCCATTTGGGAACGAAATGCAGCAGTTTGCAGGACAAGAGTCTCAGAGCGAGTAAACAGATGATGTCACCCTGTGTTTATATACATGAAGTCACGTGATAGCCCGTCTGTGTCACTTGGTGGTTTTGACTGTGGAGATTTTGATAATTTGCTTTAATAACTTTATTGTGTAGGTTATTTAGGAAACATTGCTGTTTATGATTTTATTTTAATAATAATTTGTTATTTCACTTGGTATGTATTTTTGTATGTGACAAAGATTGGATCTTTTTGTTTGTTTTATTTTCTTGTGTTGTGAATAATTAAAAAAAAAGTGTGTGTTATGTGTTTGTATATCAACTTAAACATTCATATCAAAACCATGTTATAAATTAAAATGGTTGTCATAACAATGTTGCTAACGCGCCATTATCTAGTAAGAAAGTAAGTTTAGGAAGCTTTAGTGTCTGCAATGTGGTTGAGATGTGGAAATGTAAATATAAATAATAAATTATTGTGAATATGGTTAATGTGGCTTTACACTGCACATTGAGAGGTTGTAGAGTTACTGGCATGTTGTATGTTCCCATTAATGCACAAACCACAATCAGATGCAACTATTACTCTAATATGAGATAATGAATATAAAATGTGTGCGGTAACTAAGACACCGTATAAGTGTGTCCGCATAGAGAGCCATGTTCAGTGTACTGTACTGTTTTGTTCCTGAGCCCAGCGGCCCGCCCCTCACGGTGTGGCACGTCCTGACGCGTTTCCACGTCGCAGTTCTGTCTCACAGGCGAACTCGCTGCGTATGTATGCGTGTCTCCAGCTAGGCCAGAGAGTGATGGCGGCGCCCGTCCTGAGAGTGTCCACCCCTCGGTGGGAAAGAATAGCTAGGCTTCTTGTTTGCCTGCTGGGCATACTGTTGTCTCTATATGCCTTTCACGTCGAGAGGGAAAAGGCTCGGGATCCGAGTTATAAGGCTATGTGCGACGTCAGCAGCTCCATCAGCTGTTCAAAAGTGTTCAGCTCAAGGTAATTTGAATTCAGCAAAGAGCGCTCAATGAAGCTGGCTGCTATTGTGGCGATATGGGAAGGGCTGCGCGGTTCAAACTGTCAAATACACTCTGCTAACATCTGCCGGCTGCCCTCTACCGCTAAGGCTAACTTCAGACGATACCTGCTGGCGTGCTGTGAGCTGGCTGTTTGTTAAATAACCGGTTATTAAAAGTTAACTTTTAGCTTATCATTCAATAAGCACATCATTAGCTATTTAGCTCGATGAAGCTAACTTCGGCAACCGTTAGCTAACGCAACCCGTTTGTTAACGTTATACTTCTTAGCCAGTTAACGTTAGCTATGAGCAGAGAGCATTGTTACATGAGCGACTGACAAGCTGCTGAGCGCTAACGTTACTAACGTTACTAGATGTGTGTGTCTGGAAGGGTAACACATCTGTAACACCAACTTTAGCACAGAACTTGATGATAGCTTGTTCGGTCTGACGTTATTGTTGAATGTGTGTTGTTGCCGGATGAAGCCATTCATTCCGCCGACCAGAGCTAGGGTATTCTGGTGGTTAGCTGCCTTGATGTTGATCATTTTGGGTAACTTTTGAACCTGCTAGCTAGCGCTCACGTTATCTGTCACGCTGCTGCCATTAGCTGTCGTGCTAATGTCACCGGGCAGCTATCAGCCAGTCCAAGGGGTTAAACCCTACACCCATCCCACCTAAAGGGACAGTGCACAGACCTGCTCCAGAGGTCAGTGGAGAGGACTGTAACAGTGTTAGCGACCCTAAAGTTTCAGTGCTGCTCACAGTCACACATTGTTATCGGACAGATACAATGCCACAGCTGCTCAGATAAAGCTGTGGCTACTGTTTTCCTTAAGCTGTAAGTAAACAAGGGTTGGTGTACCCACAAAGATAAGTTTGCAAGCAATCAGTCATTTAACATAACACCCATCTACATTCTCAAGATCAAAACTAATTCTGTGAAGTTGTCATACCAGCTTTACTGTGGGCATACAACTATTAATGAAACCTATTAAAACCTCACTCACTGAGAGTCTCTGCCAGGCCTGTCTAAATGCAACCTGTCTAGGAGTTATCACATATTTGAAAGATGAGTAAGAGGATTCTCTGTCTAAGTATCAGGGACAGTCTCTCCTTTGTCATCTTAAATAAGCTGTGAGCAATTAGTTATGACCTAATGTCTTTTTAAAAAGCAGTGAAGCAATGACTGAATGAAAGACATAACTTCCTTTCTCTAAATGAAGCACCCCTGCAGTTTCTATGCCATCAAGGGCTATAGACAAAGTGAATACCCTGGTGATGCAACTTATTGAATTAATGTATGTTTAACTACCTGTTTTGTGCATGCCTCCTTAAATGCTTATATGTTTAAGTCTTGAAACACAAGACAGAATCCCCGCTGTAGTGGAAGAAATGCAAAGCATGACCGTCTGCAATGTAGGAAAACATAATTTATTACACACAAGGAGAATAAACTCCCACATAGTGGTAAATTAAATGAGACTGCTAAACATATTGCACACAGGGAGATAACTGTCACATGGCATTTTAAAATGGCTTTTAAACTTGCATCATCCCAACTCTTACTGTCATTCTCCCCAAATATAAAATTATAAGAACTAATAAGAAACTTGCACATGGTGTGTTATATTGTGCAAGAAATTAAACCCAACACATGTCTGTAGCACTGTAGCACAGAGAGGCTGTTTCAGACTATGTGAAATAGAGTAATATGATTACTGAACGTGTTAAATAAGTTGCACATTCCCACTGAGTGAAACTCATACTGTTTTTAATTGAGCTAAAGGAATGCATGTCTATCTTGTCCTGATGAATCTGTCAGCACAGTAAAAATGATGTTTTGCATTGAATGATTCTCAGCATTCTTGAGGCTTCACAGCAGGGCAGATGCTTCAGTGTGACCAGACAGGAATGAGACCTAACGTGTTTGATAGGTTTAGTGGTGAATAGTGGTACTAACAGGTGGGGACGAGAGTAATTCACCAGTGCCAGTGGTTGTGCCACAGAAGTTAATGCAAATTAAACTCTTAGTCTTTTATAATCAGACAAACTCAACACAGGGGTTGTCTTTGACGGGCTCCCATGTGTCACATGCACTGACGTACTCAAGTCATGATTGTCCAGATGTGATTTGTTCCAGTACAGAAATGCTTCTTTTTTGTTTCATTTGTTTTCTCCTCCTCAAAAAGTCATCAATTAGTTGATTAGTTAATCAACAGAAATTTGGAAGACATCACCTCAAACTCTGAGGAACTGTGATGGACATTTCTTTTTTTTACCATTTTGTGACATTTTGTAGACGAAACAATCAAGAACACAACTGGCAGATTAATCGATAATGAAAAGCATAATTTGTTCCAGCTGTAGTTAATGGAACACGAACATACTTTAATACTATAATATATCTGTCCTTAAACAACATTTTGCTTTAAAAACAAAATTCACCCAGCTGGTACTTTAGATTCCTGGAAAGCAAACTTTCTGGGGAACTTTTCTTTTTCTTTTTTAAATCTATAAAAAAAATCTTTACTGTGACTCATTGGACTTTGATAGGCCTCGCCTGTGGTCCAGTCTGTTTAGTTTGCCACAGTTTTCGTCTGTACTCTTGAAATAAAGTTTTCTTTGCGGATGCTTTTGTGTGGTTTAGGTGGGGTCGAGGATTTGGACTCTTGGGCTCAATTTTTGGAAATGACAGTGCACTGAACCAACCCAACAGTGTCTACGGGATTGTCTTTTATGCCTTCCAGCTTCTACTAGGTAAGACGTTGTTTCATTGAGTAATCTGTCAGTATATGCAAATTCAGGCAACAGATCTCTCTGACCATTGTACTAGCAGCAATTAGTGTTACTTAACTCTGCCTCTCATGGCTATATTTGCCTCACATAACACATATTTAGTGGTCATGTATCAATTTCATTATACTGTTAAATGGGAGGCTAACTCAATATAAAGGAGTTACTACTAAGACTGCATGGGTAACAGTAGTGTAGTGAAGTAAGCATAAGCAAGGTGATCAAAAGATACTGGCTTCATTTCTTTAAGATTGACTCTTATTAATGATGTGCTTGTCCCAGTCTGACAGTCCTGACTGATCATAAAGTGACTTGTTTAAAGTTTTTCCCCCTTAGGTTACTTTCGCAGTCACATTCTCCTCCCCTCAGTACATTGATGGCATTGCTGACTCAGTCATGCTGGTTTGACATGTTTGCCTGCCGAGTGGCCTGTAGGCTTGCCTGGCCACCTGGTGCTGGCACAGAACAAGAGGTCCTTTTAGGCACAGCAGTTAGCACTCATTTGACTAACACAATAGCAGCCCAGTTACGCCAAACTGCTACAGCGGCTCAAGATTTCCATATTAAAGGCAAGACCACTCGGTTTCAGAACTTTCATTATTCTCATGGCCTTGGCCTGTCCAGTATTTGTGTGTAGGCATGACTCCAGAATCAGTATTACCGAGGCTTTAATCTCTGATTAATGCCAGTTTGCAGCATGGGACTTTACTGTTCTTATCCACATGAAATGAATGCTATAGTGATAGTCTTTCCCTGTGATATTTTCCTAAATAGTAATTTAGTGTTCTGAAGAGAAAAGGGGTGGGTAATATGGATAAAATATATCCATATCCCTCTATCCCTCTAGATATCCTCCTCTATATCATTTTGTATTGCAATATGGAAAGATATCACGATATAGTACATTTTCTGGAAAAATGATTGAGAAACTTAATAGGGTAGAATAATCAGGCAATAATGTTTGTTTTTTGATGGTGCGGAAAATGAAATACCTGAGAAATCAAAGTACTTTATCACATTAATGCAAACATCATAGAAATATGATACTTCTGTGAAGCAGTCCTGGTAGGGGATTTCCAACATGGTCTTATACACTCAGAGACATTAGTAATTACAGAGCATAAACTTCATGGCCAGTGTGTTCTGATTATCTCTCATGGCAGAAGACCTCGTTTATAAGACCACAAACTGAATAAATGTCTGGTAGTGGTTTAAGTGATGTACACATTAATACAATGCTAGTTATAATTCAGTAATATAATAAACATTATTCTAATAATGTTCAAATAACTATTTTGGTACTCTAGTTTTACCTTGTAATTGTTACCCCCTGTATTCTACCACTGGGGTTCTCAGGTGGTAACAGTTAAGTAATATTACCAAAATGGTCCTTTTCAGCATAATGTTTATTATAGTATTGGATTATAACCCTTATTGTATTAATGTGTACATCACTTTAATGTTGCAGCTGATGATGGTGGGACTGATTTTAACTATTTTATATACAGCTGGTTAGTGGTTAATCTATAATAATACACCACAACTTATTTGTTGATTGAATTTTCTTTTAATAATCTGTATCTGCACAGTTACTAGTAAGAAACGCTTTAAAAGTATAATATTCCCCTCTGAAATGGAAAAAGTATAGCACTTGATCTGTACTTAAGTTACTTTCCAGAACTGGACCCAACTGCATCATATACATGTGTAATGACAAGGTACATGGTTACATTTGGTAGTGAAAGAGAATCCTCGTCTGTTGTTTAGCAGTAATTGTTACAAACCTAATGAAATCTCACAAGCACAAACTCTGGGGAAACTTTGCCTTAGAACTATGACTGCACCTCATGTGACAACGAAATAATATGACCAGTCTACTCTGTGTTTAAGCTGAATGTCATCACGAGGCTTCTGGTAACATAAATAGAGAACTGTCTGAGGCCAAAAGCACACTCATCAGGTTGCTTGTGTGTTTCAAAGTTGTCTTTTTTTATTCTTTATTTATTTGTCTAAGCTTTAGTTTGTGTTTCTTGCCGTAGGAATGACTGTCAGTGCAATGGCTGCCCTAATTCTCATGACGACATCCATCTTGTCGGTGGTGGGTTCGCTCTACCTGGGCTACATCCTCTACTTTGTCCTAAAGGACTTCTGCATCATCTGCATCACCACATATGCGCTGAACTTCATTCTCTTTATTCTCAACTACAAGCGACTGGTTTACTTGAATGAGGCCTGGAAGCAGCAGCTTCAGGCCAAGCAGGACTAAGCTGTCGAGAACGGCAAGAAAAATACGATACACAAACAAACGACAACAAAAAAAAAAGAAATGTGACCTCTGAACATTTGACTTGCCACCAGGAGACCTTGCTTCCAAACAATGTTTATTCTGCTGTGTGTTCAAAAAAATGAAGAAATTTAACTTAAATGTTGGGCCTGACATCTCAATGTTGCAAACACAGAAGGATTTGTAAGTGAAAGATGATTTTCTTTTAATTTCTTTTTCCTTGTTTAACATTGTACTCACTTAAGGAAGGGGCTGACTGTGTGTGTGTGTGTGTGTGTGTGAGGGGGGAAACACATCAACCCGAGCAAGCAGAGGCAGAACGCCACAGTACAGAACGATGGAGGACAGCTCTCTTTTGAACAAAAAGGACCGCAGAATGGAAGAAAAACAGGACATTAAAGGGGTTTACTTGAAATGGTTAGAAAGGTCCTATTACTGCACAGCAGATCTGCACTAAAACTCGGAACCGAATAACGGGTCCCAAAATTAGAAAAAACACTCATTAGGTCATCGTTTGCAGATACGGTTCTATGGCGGGGAGGGGTGGGGCAAAATGAATAACATTTATACAGAATAGGTTTTTTTCATGTTTACACTTTGTAGTACGTTTGTTTTTGAAGAGGACCACTAAATAAAACACAGGACAATGTGAGATATTGTGTGTAGATCAGTCAGATTGTTTGTTTTGCAATTCTGTAAATAGCTGCTGAGCAATATTCCAGGCTAGATTGTGAGTTAGTGTTGACACAAACCTTTAAGGAAAAAAATGAAAAAATACGGGAGAAAACACCAGTAAATGGGGAACAAAAAGTGATGGAGGTCACAGTTAGGTGGGGGAGTCTGAAGATGTGCTCGTTGGGACATCTTTCGTCCTGTAATCCTGGTCAGGCATGCAGTTCAGAGTTGTGTAGATTTTTTTTACATTTCTTTGCTGTAAGTGGTTACTGTTTCATCTGAAGCCACCGACACAAGTCTTTTAAACAGAATTATAGGTTCTTTTCACCAAGTTTGCATCAAGGCACCCTCACTCTCTTCTTTTGTTTTGTTATTCTGTGAAAAGCATTCCTGACCACCACTCAAGTGGGATCCATAAAGACTTATGTGCCTAAAGGAGTGTTAAGGTGAATTACCTTTCTTTTTTTTTCTTTTCTTTTTTTTACGTTTTGGGGTCGGGGTGGGGGTGGAGGGGTATTGTCATGTTAACTTCAGTTTTGCTTGTTGTTTTATTGTCACAGGTCCAAGGCTTTATTTTTATGATCACAGTTTTGTAGATTAAGATACCAGTGAAGTGTTTCTCCCTCCCTAATAGTCTCATGAGGTAGCAAAAGGCTGCTACACTGTGATTGTCTGCTCAAGGATAGAGTGGCCTGGTGGCAGAAGCATCTCTTATCTTGCTGTTTCAGTTGCGTTATTGCTCATCTGGCTCGTGTTCGCTGTCCAGCCTGTATACATGTGATGTCAATTGAACAGTAACAGTGATCTTGCCAAGCTGAGTTACAGTTCATTTGCAGGATGTGAACAAAACTTGGAGAATGTCAAGCTTTGTTGACATGAGTGCTAGAACGAGGTGTAAGATTCTGTAAGAAAACAAACAGTATGTTAAGCCATATATGGAGTTTGTAGGATTTTTGCACCAGTAGGAAAAATCTCCAGATCGCTGATGGTTTTCTAAGATGAACAGCTGCAGACAGCGACGCTTTTCATTAAGTGGTTAATCTAACGTAACAAGGTTTGTACGGAGACAGATCACAGTATGGGGAAAAGCAGCCGCAGCTCCTAGATCCTTTGCTGGAGATCCACAGTATTGTCGGTTCAGTTCGGCTCCAAGTGACAGACAAGGACCATTGTCTCTTTTCCATCCAGAATCCACTGATTGAAGCATCCTACTTTTCAGATGCATGGTATACTATCTCCTGGCTTTAAGCATATGTTGGCCATCGGACAATCTTACACACACTGACAAAGATGTAGAACAGTCGTAGTAATAACTGTAATAATGTGATTCATCTGTGGTGTTTAACCAGCTTGTTAATAGTTTCCATCACTGCTAGTCTCCATGCCCTTTCACGTTTAATAGAATTCAAGTTTTTTTTTTGTGGGGTGAGGGTTGTCGGAGTACTGTTAATGGCAACGGTTCTGAAAGTAATTTCAGTGACATGCTGCCTGTGATAACTTATGAAGTCATCAGTTTTGTATGACCATGGAAACTGAAGTGACTTTTTTCCCCAGGATATTGTCAAAGTGAAACTGTTGTCTGTTCATGCATGTTGTACTCATTTACTACTTAACGTATACAGTGTCACATCACTGTTACCCATTTTCCAAAGCATAACGTGTTATATATTGACATAGATTTTCCTACATTCCAGGCAGACAGTTTCCATTCATTTCATAATGAGATGATATAGATTTTAAGAGACACTTAAAACCGCTTAAACCTTTGCTGTGAAGATCGCATATACTGTTCACTATGTCCATATTTGTCCTTTGGGTTAGAATAAAGAATAAAACTGATAAATGTCAGTTGCACTCTGATGGATAACACTAAGAGTATACCACTGATTTAGCATTGCACTCGTATTACATCTATTCAAAATCAGTGCAGTGGAACCAGCGATAGTGTCTTTTTTTTATTTTATTTTACACATTCTTCTCAAACCTGCTGCCTACATTACCCACAATGCATCAGTTTGTTCAGAGACTCGGTTGTGTTACGCTCGTAGCGGCTAATGTAGCCTCGAGCGGCTAGCCTAAATTAGAGATGAGGAGCGGGCTATAGAGGTCTGGCCAGCTCACTTCTTTCTAACACCACACCCCCAGATGTTTTATTTATTTTCAAACTTGTAGTCTTTAGACCCAAACAAACAAGTGACATCACTTGAGGACATTTATCAGACTTCACACAGCTCCCTCTGGAGACACAAAAGGCTTTAAACAACTTTTAGAACATGCAGTAGTACTCCCAGGACCTGTAAACACGCTTTGATGTGCAAAATGTATTGAAAAAGTTTCCCATTAAGCTAATTTAAAAAAAATAAAATTTCATGCTGTACCGAAAATAATGGAAACCAAAGGCTGCCTGGAAGAGAAACTTTAAACACTATGGTTTGGAAAATGGTTTGCAGTTATGTCACATTGACATGATTGGTAGTAAAACATGCGAGCACCAGTCCAGTCCTTTTTTAACAAACTGTATGGTCCTCCAATGATTTAAATGTTTGCATCACTTCTTAGCAAATCTTTAAGATCTTCCTTATACAGTATTGCCTTGTCGGGCTTACATCAGGTTCTTACTCATCTCAGTTCAGAATGAGATTAACAACCACACTGTTTTGTCTTTGTCCTGTTTCTGGGAAAGCCTGCTCACTTACATAAAAGACAAGTCTCCTATGGATTCACTTGCACAAGACAAATTTTTTTTATTTAGAGACGTCAAACTGACATAACTTGCTAGTTTTTGTGGCAACAACGATCGGTCCTGTGAGTTTCGACCATAGAGCTGACCAGTGTACAGTAGGTAGCCTATTATTATTATTATTATTATTATTATGTTTGTGATTCCAGTCATATGCAAGCCCTATTACACTAGTTGTGTGCAGTTACTTTAAAGAAATGGATAAGGAATTTGGATGTTGAGTCAAAAGTTTGAAAAATATATATATATGGTATAAGGATCACCATGTTGTGTGATGATTTAATGTCAAAAAGAAGGTCAAAATGATCAATACTGCATTCTCATTAATATTCATTTAGGCCCTGAGGTATAACTGCCATGTTAGTTGCATCACCAATGCCAACAAAAGTGCCTTCTGTTTGATCACTAGGCCTTGAGCCAAAGACGAGCAACAGTAATAGCCTTGTAAAATGAAGAATGGTAACTGTAACAGGCACTTCTGCTTGCCTTCCTTAAGATGTAATCTGATAAATTGGTAATTCCCAAAGATTTGATGTCCGGTATCGGTGCAAAAATCCCTTCAGAAATTGCCAGACAAATTGCCCTGTCAAATCAATGGCCGTTCCTTTTTTCCTCTCTGAACTCCACTCTATAATTATCATCTTGATTTTGTCTAGCTAGGACATGTTTGTTAGCTAAGAATACACTCTGTTTAAAATACATGATTGTAATGTTCTTTTTCATCATTAATTATGCCCTTTAGCTGTATAGACTGTTAACATTCTGGGTTATTTTAGTTTTAAAAAACGTCGAGGGGTTGGAGGGCTAGGAATCCATGTGTCAGCATAAAATGTTTATTACATTTCTTTGTGGAGGAAAACTTACTGGGTTTGCTTCTGTATTGCCAAATATGTTTTAAAATGCTGTATTTTCTTACATGGAAAAGTGTTACATGAATGGTGGGAGGGTGCAAAAAATAATCTGTTTAAATCCAGCTTACTTTAAGGGAAAACTGTGGAAAAAGGTTGACATGAGAACATTTTTAATTGTGTCATTGTCATGTGGAAATGATCTACCATTAAAACATTCCCTCTGAAACTACCTGTCACTTTACATTATTTAAATGAAAATAAATGCTGTTAAAGATATAGTAAGAGTGACTAAAGTAAAAGGGAATCACGGCTCATTTTAATAATTGTGCCACTATGACATTAAAGGGTTGTTTCATAATTTTTCACATCTGTGTCAAAACAATTGTCCGGTGCGCCTATGAACATTTAAAATGGGTTTTGCTTGCTGTAATCGTTTCTTTTGTTTATACTGGCCTTCAAAAGATTCCTTCCTAATGTCCTTTCACTGGAAATGATAGGGGACAAAATCCACAGTCTTTATTGTGTGTTAAATATATTCCAAAGTTGATCTACAGTTAATATGAAGCTTCAGCAGTCTGAGTTAGACAAATCAAGTGAGTATCTTCCAAAGTTTATATATATATATACTGTGTGTATATGTATGTATGTATATATATATATATATATATATATATATATATATATAGTAAACAAACCTCTCCCCCATGCACTGCCAACAACAGTCAGGTGCTGGTAGGTCACAGGACCGTGTAGTAAGAAATCAGAATTAACCACTGCACACTGGTGTGACATAACTGTGATTTATTTAAGAGCGAACAACGCGTTTCTCTTGCAGCAAAATTGCATGAGCACTCACAGGTGTTCCAAACAGGCCACATCTGGGTCACATGACCAGTCATGTGCCATCACAGTCTTAATTATTTCATTTCAAAATGTTTTATATGTTGTATAGGCTTTTATTGCCTTTAATTGGTAGTGACAGGAAAGGGGGAGACACGCAGCGAAAGGCCACAGGTCCAACCCATGGCTGCTGAAACAAGGACTCAGCCTTAGAACATGGGTTATCTGGGCTCCCCTGTGTTACTGTCTCTCAGTCGCATCTCATTTGCCATCTTGTTTTTTATCCACCAATACTGCTGAAGCCTCATATTAACTTCAGATAAACTTGGAATGTATTTTTGACAGATTTTGGATTTTGTCCCCCAAGCCTTCCCTTGGAAGCATGTTAGAAAGGACCCTTAAAGGACGAGTGTGTAGGATTTAGTTGCATGTCCCAGTGAAATTGCAGATGGCAACCAACTGAATACTGCTCGCCTTCCAAGCATGTGTGAAAAACTACAGTGGGTGCAATAAAAAGAAAGAGGACCCGACTCTCTGTAGATGAAAGCAGCCTATTCTAAAGTAACGAAAACAGTTCTTATTTTCAGGTGATTATACACTAAAGACAACATGTATGAGTACTGATAGTATATTCCATTCTGTTAATAGAATCCCCTAAATATCACACACTGGACCTTTAATGGCCAGTATGGACAGGAGGAATGATTACAGAAAGAAAAACCTGTTTTAATGTACATATGGGCTTGTGAGTATTGTTTTAAGACAGACTTGAACAATTGTGAATGTAGCAAGTCTCGCTACTACCGAGGGTTCTCTCAGCACACAGACCAACAACAGAGATTAATAAACCAGACAACTTTATTTCTTTGCCAGTCTCAAACACTATTAATACAACTTAGCCTGCTTCAAAAGTCCATGAAGGTTTACTCCGCTTGTCCCTTCTGTTGTGTGTTGGCCCCCAGGTCCAGCACACTACTGGCTTAAGAGAGGTGAGTGTGATTACTCAATGAGTACCAGCTGAGATCATCAACTCACCTGGCACTGCTCTCACAAGCCTTCCCCACACCTCTCTCTCTCCTGCAGCTGATTGTAAACAACACACACCTCCACAGTGAACTTATCCTTTATGTCTGACGTCCAACAGCAGTTAGAACTTTTGGTCTGATTCCAAGCGATTACAATAACTGTATTAGTCAAAGAGGTACTCCAGCCAAAAATTGTTGCACTTCAGTTGGGGTACTCACAAGAGACAAAATAAAAATTGACTTTTGGTCTCCAGTATCAAAATCACCAAAACAAGGGATCCTACAATGCTCACAGTGCAACTTGATCGCGTGTAACCCCAATTATGTTATCAGGGTTACTTTTTAAACTTGGGAAAGCTCCTCTAGAGCAACAGAGATGCTGCTGTTTTTACTGGCTGCACTCCTCATGAGTAATCATCAAATCTTTTATTTCTCTTTCTCTCTTTTGGAAGCAAAGAATTGTGCACAAACATTTAGGGTAGTTTAGTTAAAATAATTTTACTTTTTATGTTAGATTTTTTGAAACCTAAACCCTATTAGTTTATATGGTACATCAAACTGCAGGCCAAAGTGGCCCAATCTGATACTCCATCCGCTTGATAAGTGGATTAGTTTTATTGTTTCAAAGCAGTGTGTTTAATGACTCATTAATCTCCAGTTGTGCAACAATTATTGTGTGAACAGCAATTCCAGCTGGACCAGATCCAAAATAAGCTGTTTTTATTGATTTTCACCTATGTTTTGTTATGGTAAGTTAGAGATTTTCCTAAAATGTTTCATACCAGTTACTTACAAATAGTAAGTAGGTATACTGCTAGGGTAGCTACAGTATGTTTGAAAGGAACCTAAGGCTCAAAATATTCTGTATTTGTCCAGCTGTAACACAAAGGTCAGCCATGTGATGAGGATACAAGCAGAGTTACTGATAGTGAAAAGGCCGACTGAAGTCACACCACCATCAATAATCAACACATCTCTTAACCCTTTAGGTGTATGCTGAGTTTCTGCAAACCCTCAGTCACAGTGGCCTGCAGAAACAGCACTAAGACTTTTTGCACAGGATTTAAACAACCAGACTCCTCCAGGGTCCCAAAGATGGCAATCAAAGGACAAGGTTATAGATTCCTAATATGGTACGCATTATATTGAAATAGCTGGCCTAAAAATTATCTAGAGAAATGTGGTTCCAGTGACAATGTGGGTTCAACCATCTATCACATTTATCACCACCTCAGGGGAAATTTCAGACAGTCTCGATGTATAACCTGTATAACCTGTATATTGAGTGCAAGATGAGCACATCTCTGAAACGATCCCTTTTTGTTGTGTCTTCTTATCATCTAATGAGTGTTTGAGAGGTGAAGAGGGAAAACCATTGGGAACAAAGTGTCTAACTTGGAAGTACCTAAGAAGTGGCTTGCTTGTATGTACATCCCTTTTACGCAATACTGAATCTAAATATGAGGGAGGAAACAGGTGATTGTTACATAATGGGATATGGTATAGATTGAAATCTTAGTTGGAAGTGAGGAATTTACAAGAGCAAATACAAAGGATGAAAGACAGCAAGACTTCCAGTTTGCACTAAGCAAATCAGGAAAATCAACCCTGTTCAAAAGTAATGTTGAAAATATTGAGAATGGTTTAAAAAAACAAACAACAACAACACAGTTTGCATATTAAGTGTATGTTTTGTATTTAATACCTTGATTCATATTCGGATTCAAAAGTTTATAAAATTATAAAAATAAAGCACTTTTATGATTAGATTCAGCATTGTAATTCACATTGCACAGAAATGCTTCCAATTAGAAAGTACTCACAGAGGGAAGGAAAATAGGAGATATTGTGGTAACTCCCTCCTTTTACAGTCTTTGTGATGTAATGTGCTTTCTCTGCCAGGTGTACTCACATCACCTGACAAGAAGAAAGGTCAGAAATATTAACTGATGAAGGATTTTGACATTTTTTGAGAGCAATGGAAAGCACCACCTCCTATATCTGTATCAGAATCTCCTGTAACAGCTAAATAAATTGTTACACCCCCACTCATTTGTATCCAAAGCAACACATCATAATTCTAATTATTATATCAGTGTGCACCATAGATGAGCCACCAGAGGCTTCAAAAATGTATTTTATGATGTGAAAATGTTGCAGATTGCCCTGATTACACTGGTGGTTTAGTTCATATTGCAGACCAATAGTAACAGAAATGCTAAATGGTGTTTCATGGTTTGTACTCACCAAACTGAAATGTTCTGCATATGCTTTTGTAAACTGCCTCAAGCAAATGACTGAATTTTAACTGCAATTTCCATAAGACATAGTGTTAACATGGGACTGAGCCGGTCCTGGACCGGGTGCCCCAGCTGGCGGGTGTCATAGTGAGCAGGGGTACTTGGTCCAAGGAGGTAGTATGCCTGTTTCATTGGCCAGTCTCCAGTACCGCTCCCTCAGGATGAATGCAGCTGCTTTAGGTTGCCTTTGTCTGGTGAAAACACCCTTCTTGTTCCCCACCACACGGGTGATTCCTGCAGACACGAGAACAACAAGAACCTCGTCAGACACAGGACGCAAAAACTGCACATCAGTTAAGATGAGAAGAGAAGTAAACTCTGCTTCCAAAATGACCAAGGATCCAGAGTTTATTTTGTTTCTATGTTGGACCAATTTACAGTTCACGGTGTAAAGGTCTGCATTAAAATTAGTGCAGCAATTTAGATATGGTTTACAGCTGAATAGCTCTGCATTATGAAAATACAACCTGCTGGTGTATTGTAACATTATATAGTATATAGTATACTCTGCAACAGCCATTGAGGGAGGATGTCAATGTGGATCGTTGAAGGAAGGACTGGACAGGATCTAGACTCTCTTCAATCTCAAAATACTGAAGTTTAGAGATGTGATTCACCTGCAAAATATCACTGAAGCAGAGGTTGAAGAGAGTTTGTTAAAATCCTGTCGAGACCAATGATTTCTGTTCGTTAAACCTACTGACTACAACATGACTTGACTTGACAGTGTACCTTTGCAGTGGGCACCTATTGTTAGTCTTCCTGGAAAAGGTGTGGATCACATTATGCTTGCATGGAACATGAATTCATAGGCTACATGATTCCTATACATCGGTGTGAGCAAATGAACCGCAGGGTCACAAACTAAGTGTCAGACAGCAGGGTATCTGACAGCGAGCATCAGCATCAAAGTCTGCCTACAGTAATTACAGAACCCACAATACACTGTAGTCATGGAGGGAAATAAATAGCACAGTTCAACTCTGGTAGATGTGGCAGCAGTTGTGGTTCTACTGGTTGTTGCAGTTGCAGTACCTTGTACAGTCATGAAATCGGCAAAG